CTGCACAGAAGAAATGGAAAAAAAAAAAAGTCATCTCTCTTAAAAGTCTCTCTACTCTTCTCTCATCATTTGAAGGTTGAATCTGGTTCGTTGGTCTCGGATCTAGTTAGCTGCAAGCCGTTTTGGAGTTGTTGGATTTGTATCTTTGGGTCGAGGTTGGGTTCTTCTTTGTGCGGCCATCTAAGTTCAATCTGATAGCTCGTGTTGTGGCAACTTTGGTGAAGCTTTGACGGAAGTTAGGGAGGGCGTTAGTTTCTAGTTAGTCTCTATTGTTTGGTTTAATGTTGTTTTGGCCCAATGTTAGGCTTGATTGTTTGTGTTTTTGTTTTGTCGTGTTCTTGTTCTGTGTTTAGGTTTGTTAGTAGAGATGTTAAACCGTCTTTGGTCTGACGGGTCGGCCCATTTAACTTGAAAAAAAAAATAGGAGGTTAGGGCTGTTTACTCACTAGGGTTAGTCCGTCTAATTTGGATTGGCTAGTGTAAATGTTTGCACTCGCTAAGAAATATGTTTTAAGATTTTTTGTATATTACAATTTTACTATTTTACTTTACATGTAATCATTAGCTGTAACAAGTTATTATGATTTGAAATACGATTATTAATAAATTTTGTTATTCTACTCCATACCACCATATTTAAAATCAATCAGAGCGGCTAATAGGAAACACAAGAAACAAAGACCTGACAGAAACACAAGAAACAAAGACCTGACACGTAGAATATAATGATAGAGTACAAATTTAACAGTACACTACAATATTGTGAAAATTCCCAAAGTATACAAAATAACCAGTAAAATGGTAGTTATAAGTAATAGTTCAAATATTTTATATTTTCTTTTCAAGAAAAATATGTTATTTAACAGTTTGTAATGTATTCATATATGAATTGTAGTTGTATATATATAATGGTGAATACTAAATAATTGCTAAAAAAATCCATTACTAATCGTTGTAATTTTTATATATATTTTTATTTATTTATTTATTTATTTATTTTTATTATTATTATTATTATTATTATTATTATTATTATTGTAGCATATTTAAATAAGAGTATTTTAGACTCAGACCGTTTAGCTTGAAATTGCTAAGACTAGCCGATTAACATTTCTATATTTATATTTGTTAGGGAATAAACATTGGATTCTCACTTCTCAGACATGTTACATTTAAAATGCTCAAACAAGACAAGACAACCACACACAAATAAAAATTCAATTATTAATACACCTAACTGTAAAAAGATAAGAAATAATTAGGGGGAAAATAACAATATTTGCCATGCGTGCATGCATGCGGGATATGCTTGGCCAATAAAGCATGGTTTGCTTAGTCAACTTATTATAATTCTTTTTCTTTTTAGTTTTCATTTTTTCTTTATAATGAGATTTTTAAAATTTCATGAATATGCAATGGTATTAAAATTTAAACTATGACTCATGCCAAGCTAGAGGACTAAAAGTACAGCTTGGCAAACATATAGTAAATGAACTTCCAATTTAAGATGAAATAGATTTATGAAAACAAAAAAACAAAAAAACAAAAAATGATCCAACTTATTTTTATTGAGTTTGCGTTGGTTCAAAAATGAACTTCCAATTTAAGATGAAATAGATTTATGATCCATTATAAATTTACTTACAAAACTGGTTGATAACTTAAATTGATAGTTAGTTAATAAGAAATTTTGAGCTGATTACTTAGTTGATATCTATTTTTATGACTATAATAGTTAGATAGACTTAAAATATATAGTTTGTTTAAATAATGTGAAATTATTTCAAAGTTGAAAAAAAAAAATTCACTTACGATCAGATGGTTTAAAAATTATACCATAGTACTTTAATGTACGATCAATGATTTAAAAATTGAGTTATCGGAAATACACTTGTGAAGTATTTATTACTTAATTTCATTACAATATTATCAAAATTAACCATGAAGTTTTATCATCACATGATTTGTTAAATCAGTTGGTTAGCAAATTTGACAAAGTAAATTAGTTCTAATACTTAAATAGCAGCCTGAAATTTTAAAAAATTATCTTTAACCAAATCATAAAAGAAAAGAAATAAGGGAAAAAGGAAAAAAAGAAAAGTAGACAAAAGAAAATAAAAACGCGGATGCGCGCTCTCCATTTCACCACTTATAAATATGCACACAGAAAAATGGAGAATACAATTTAGGGAAATAAAAAAAATCGAAACCCTAGAGAGAGGACCTGAGGAGGAGGAGGAGAAGAAGAAGAGGAGGAGGAGGAGGAGAAGAAGAAGAAGATGGTTTTCTATTTCAAGGCCCGGCCCGAGGCTGGAGACTACACCATCTTCATGGGCATAGACAAGTACGAAAACGAGGAGCTTATCAAATACGGCTTCCCTGAAGATATCTGGTACTTCTCTTCATTTTTTCCGATCAATTTTTCCGATAATCTTCAATTGGGTTGTGTTATATTCAATTGGGCGTTGTATTGTAGTTGATCTTTGTCTAAATTGGAAAATGTGTGATTTTCACGCTGTTGCAAATAAAAAAAGATGTTGCCTTTATGGCAAACGAATGTAGTTTCTTTTTAATAGGAAAAGAACCACTAAGAAGAGCGTTTTTACTGTTCTGTATGTCTGAGTAATGATTTTTGGAAAAGAAGATTTTTCCTTGGGATACTAATTTTGATGGCTTTGGAGTAGAATTTGATGTGGTTGTTCTTATTTTTCAATCGCGTGGCGTTATACTCAATTGGGCGTTGTGTTGTAGTTGATCTTTATCTTAGTTGGCAAATGTGTGATTTTCATGCTATTTACCGAAGGAGAGAATAGGGTAGAAAATAAATAAAAAGATGCTACCTTTATGACAAACAAATTTTTTAGTTTATTTAACTCAATTCTTAGAAGCTACTTTTCTATGTTCTGAGTTATTCATTCCTGGGAAAAAAAAATAAAAAATCTTTGGAGACACTTATTGTGATGGCTTTGGAATAGAATTTGATGTGGGTTTTTCTTACTGTGGTTGCTTATAGGAACTTATATATTTACTTGAAATGTTTTGAACCTTACGAGCTAACGTTCTAAACTTGAATTTTCAACAAATATAGAAGTAACAAACTGAAATGCATTTGCAGATATTGTGATCCAGACCTGGCTTTTTTTCTGAAGTAGAAATGAATTGAGTTAAGCGTAAACCACAGTGTCTGTAGTAATTTAACTTAATATTCGTAATTTAAGTTTCATAACTGTAGACAAATTGTCACACGATGGGATGAGTGTGTATAAAATTGTTTTCTCTTTTGCATGTATTGCCATATCTCATAATCATGGCCGTTTTACATTCTCGAAATGCACTTTCTAACGACATGCTATTTTAGGTTCCATGTGGATAAAATGTCTTCTGCCCATGTTTATCTGAGACTGCAGAAGGGTCAAACCATTGATGATATACCTGAAGGCGTATTGGAAGACTGTGCCCAGCTAGTCAAAGCAAATTCTATCCAAGGCAAGTATATCGCAAGTGTGCTTTTATTGGTATTTATAATCAATAATAGTTCTCGTATTTCTTGAAGAATATAGCAGTACACGAGCAAGACAGTTCACCTAACAAGCGTGTCCAATTTTTTTCTTTTCTTTCACCATCGCTACATTTCTCGGTTCTTTCCTCTTCTCTTATCTTTATTTTCACTTTTATTTTTTTATTATTTTTTATTGTAAAATCTGACAGGAAACAAAGCAAACAACATCGATGTTGTTTACACTCCCTGGCAAAATCTGAAGAAAACGCCCTCAATGGATGTTGGGCAAGTTGGTTTCCACACGTCAAAAACAGTGAGTTTCTATCTTGCATTATTTGCTGTTTTTCCAATCACACGGCAACAATCTTTGCCATTGATCTTAACAGTTGAAGTTCTTTTATTTATTTTTCTCTTTGCTTTAGGTTCGGACTGTGAGAGTGGAAAAGCGGATAAATGAGATAGTTAACCGGCTAAACAAGACAAAGGTTGAGAGACACCCAGATTTGAAAGGTGCGCTTACAGAGATTTCTTGTGTCTTTTTGAGCTTTTTAGCATGTCATGAAGTATCATAATCTGGCTCGTGTGTGTTTATGCTTCTTTCTTGTTTTTGTTCAGCTGAAAGGGAGGCAGTTTCTGCAGCCGAGAAAGCTGAAAGGAAGCAGCAGATGAGAGACAAAGTGAGTCATGTTTATCTCCTTTTCATTTTCCTTGAAAACGAACCTTTTTATAAAACGCAAATTTTAAAAAAAAAAATGGCATTAAATGTTTTTGCAGAAACGGCGTGAAGAATTGGAAAGGCTTGAAAAAGAGAAACAAGCCGAGTTAAGGAGCTACAAGAATCTAATGGTGGCAGATAAGATGACTTCCAACAAGGACATAGCATCCACCAACAAATCACTACAGGAGCTCGAAGAAGACTTCATGTGAGGAAGCCATAACAACAAATTTCATCAAATTTGTCCAGAATGTGAAGATTTATGTTCCTACTGTCAAAAGAGATGGTTATTGGGAAGAGGATTTGGAAAGGTGTTTGTTTTACGCCCAAAGGGTGAACTTCAATTGTGTCTGTTTCGAAGAAGCATAAATATGCAGCCAGCTTAGATTTGTCCAATTTATCGAATTCTTGAAGCTCTTGAATCTGTCGATGAGAATGGAGAGTGAAGATGTACGACTTTGAAAGAGAAACCTATTGTATCTGTATCTGTTGATGACGATAGCAGCTTCTTTCGGTTTTGTTGTGTCGAATCTGTAGTCTGTTTTATATTCAGTGCTCCTAATTTTTGTTGTGCGACTGTTCTTTGTTTGATGGGATTAGATTACACATTTCCGTGTCTGACTGTCTTCTTAGCTTTCTAAATTAAGCAACCAAATGATTATGAGACTCTCTCTCTCTCTTTGTTTTTAGTATGTGTTTTCTATAAAGGAAAAAATAAAATAAATTAAAAAGGTACAATGCTAGGCGCCCATATGCTTCTTTTGAAAAAATGGAAAAATAAAGAAATGTTGGTAGTGTCAGAAGTGGGATTTGAACCCACGCCCTCTCACGAGGACCAGAACTTGAGTCTGGCGCCTTAGACCACTCGGCCATCCTGACTGCTTGACAAATGGAATTACATTTACGATGATAACATTTAATGAACCAACAATCTCATTTGCTCTATTTTTGTGCCCTTACAACCCAACCCGTTCTCATGTTTATAGGCTCACATACAACATACCAAACCAAATTAATTCAACAAATTCAAACCTCTTTAAGACATATCCCCATTAATGGAAAGAGGAAAACCCATAATTGTCATATACATCTATTTTTTCTGTGAATATAAAGCAAAATTTTGGTTAATGAAAGAGAATTTCATGCATATCATATAACTAAAAAGTAAGAATTGACCAATTGTTACAAGTGGAAGCACCTCGTGCATATACGTTATACGATATACCATTAGATTATCCAAGTCATGTGGCAATATGATGGACAAAATATATTTAAACTAACTAGTACAAATTCCATGCATAATGTTCATTAATATTTATAAATTGAAAATGTTCATTAAATAATATTATAAATTAAAAATGAGGAATCAACATGTAAATATGTAATATAGTTTACTTATATTAATTTTATTGAAAATGTTATATGAAATGTAAATTGTGCAAAATTACATAAAATTTGTCTATCTAAAATTAGTATACAACTTGTACGGTGTATGTAACTGATAATAAATTACATTATGTTCATTTTAAAATAAGCGTCATTTTTAAATTTTTATTCAAAAATGCGATTTGACTACAAAGTGATTCTATAATTATTTTGATAGAAGTTTATGATATATTTACTTATAAAATTTATATTGTTTCATTAATTAAAATGAATTTATTTTTGTATAAGTTATTCAAATAAAAAAAAATTAAGTAGTTGAATAATTTATTAAACTATAAACAATTGAATATTTCATTTACGTCGAAGTTAATAGTGACTCATATGTTATGAATAATTATTTATTTGACTTTTAGATTTGTTGTTGGTTACCTTGTCATTAAAATTTATTAATTAATTCTCTAGGATTAAATTATAAATTTTGAATTTTATTAACAAAATATTTTTTCAAAGATCTTACTGATTTTAAAGAGGAATACATGCAAATTTAGCGAATTATCATCAATAATTCCAATTTGCCGAATTGTCATCAATATCTTATGGAAAATTATTATGAATATGCTGAAATTTGAGATTCATATCACCTTGATTTTATAACAAATCAATCTAAAATTCAATTTCATACACATACTGAATAAAATTCATACCAATTATTTTGTTTTCAAAATTTTCAAATACACTTCTAGCCATACCAAATAAAATTCAAACAATTTAAATTATGACATTTCATAACAAAATAAAATAGCACACTTTATACCGTAAATTAGGATATTTATTAATAACAACAAATTTTCTACCAAAAATGGTCATTAGATACCTCAAATAAAACCGCTTACGTTATGCCAAAATCTGATTTATTAATTTTGTTAACTTTATATCATAAATTGATTATTTAATTTTTAGAGACGCGATCTGTTTAAAATTTTTAAAAAAGATTATACCAAGTTTAGTAATTTTAAAATTTTAGAAAAGTAAATACAAACTTTTTTTAAAGCCTAGAATCAATCGTTGTGGGTTGGTTAGATATATATTAATTCAATAATTTCCACTAAAAATATTAATTCATAATTTTACATTGAAAAAAAAAAATGTTAATGCATGCTTAAAATCTGCACCAATATTATCTCATCCCAATTTATTTGATTAATACAATAATTTACACTAAAAATAATGCTTCATAATTTTACACTAGTGCGTACCCCGTGCGATGCACAGATAAACAATATTAAATAACAATTATAAATGGGTTTCGAGTTCGAGTCACGTAAGTGAAGAATCAATATTGATACCTTTTTTAAAGAGAATTATGATGTCACGTGTGAAAATTTGAGTACGCAAGGTTTCAAAAATTATTATTATTATTATTATTATTATTATTATTATTATTATTATTACAATGAGTAATTCGTGCTATGCATGGCTATAATAATTTATAGAATTTATATATTTATTTATTTTTATATAGGCGAAGCCTGTCTATTTTTTTTATAAAAAAAAATATGAAGCTCAATTATGTTCCACAATATAATGTACTCAACTAAACTGGTCGGGTCAAACTTAACGGGCCAATAACATATTATTAAATTGACCCAAATAAAGCCCAACCATGAAAGTAGACCGAATCATTAAGTGCGACCCAATATCTCAACCCGTTATGGCTTAAAAGAATGGATCAGACGGTCTGAATTAGTCAACCGATATCTAATGGTCAGAAATCAAAGATGCCATCTAAAAAAGTTAAAAATATCCAAATTATTAGGGTTATGTCATTACTTCTCCTCCTCCCACCGCTTTCCTTCTCTATTCTCTCTCTTATATCACTTATAGAAACTTGATAAAATATTCTTTCAAATTTTTACAAAAATACTCTATTTTTTAAACAATCAATCACATCTATTGCGAGTCGATTTCTTATGTTATAAGATAGATCGATATTATATCTTGTCTTTATGTTTAGAAAGATGCCTCTATTATTTTATTTTTCTTTTGATTGTCATATTTTTTGTGTGTTCTAAGATTTTATGTTTGTTTTTTGATCGAAACCAATAAAAAACAAACTTTGTTATTACTATTTCGACCATTTCAAAAGCTTTTCTTTTGAATATCGAGACTTATGTAATGTGTTGTTCAATTATTTTGATTCATATTGCTTTTTTTTTTTTGTAGATTTATAATGGACGGATCTGGAATAATTTTTCAATTTTCGGTCGAAATTCGAATTTTATTCAGTCGAAAAAAATGAATACCGAAAATGAAGTCTCATTTTCTATTTGAATGTCTATTTGTTTTAAAAAATGTTACAAATCTTAGTCGGTTATATAAATTTTGACTGTATTTTGGAATTTAATTTAAAATAAGGGTCTTAATCTCTAAAAATGTGTTCAAAACTTTTGTGATTGAACAAATCCCACATTTTAAGGGCAACATTTAATGCTGCCCGATTTTTTTTGTAAGAGACAAAAAAAATTTTTCAAAAGTGGCATGTAATTAATGCAGATAGGATTTTGACCAAATTTTGACTTACTATTTTTGAAAAATATTAATTCTTATTATATATATATAGATTGAAAAAAAATGTTAATGCATGCTTAAAATCGACATCAATATTATCTCATCCCAATTTATTTGAAAACTTATTTTTTTTACAAAATTTTCAAATACATTTGGATCCATAGTAAATAAAATTCATACCATTTAAGTTTGAGTAATTTATGCCAAAATAAAATCGTACACTTTAAATCGTAAAATTAAATATTTATTAATAATAACACATTTCCTACTAAAAATAAATTTGGCCATCAAATACCTAAAATAAGATTGTCCACTTTATACCGAAACCAAATTTATTAATTTTGTCAACTTTATACCATAAATTGATTGATTAATTTATAGAGGCCATATTTTTTTGAAATTTTTCAAAAGATATTACCAAGTTTAGAAATCTTAAAATTTTTAGGCAAAATTTTAGTTTTTATTTCATGTAAAATATAAACGTTATATATATATATATAGGGTCGCGCTCCAGTGAGAATGGTGCTTAATGAAAGAAATAAGAATGCATCGCATCCGTCCGATCTAATAATCCAACGATTAAAAAAAAACCAAACAGTTATCCTTATTAAGGGTAAATTGGACATTTTATAATTACACCTAACAATAAAAGCCCACCCCACTATATCCCACACCACCCCGCGAGACCCACCCCACGTGACTTTTCTCTTACTCTGTCTCTCTCACACACACACAGAGACACACAAACACACACCTTTTCCGTCAGTTCACAGCTCCTCCCGCCGGTCACCGATCGCCGCCCCGCCACCTGCAAGTGTCGCCTTCGCCGCCGTGATCTCAGGGAACACCGCGCCTCCGCAACCGCTGGGAGCAGACCTCCACAGCCCACCACTCTGTCGCCCGAAATTGCCGACCCTTCTCCAACCGATCCATCGCCGGAGTTCCTCCGCCCGCGACGCCGCTCACAGAGTTCACCGTCCTCCGACGACCTCGAAATTGACCTCCATCGACTACATCGTCTTCACCGGCGTCGCCTCGAAACTCTAAATCGGCCGCCGCGATCGGCTTTGCGGAACCTCCTCCCCGTCAAAATTGAAAGCATAATCGGCCTCTCTTACTTCTTCTTCTTGCATCCCTACGGCTGGACCTGCACCAACATCCGGCGAATCTGACATATGGGCAGGGACTGAAACAGCTTTGGTAGCTACCAAGAAAAGAAGTGTATGAATGACTGCTGACTTAATAAATAAGGCTTTGATAGATTTTGGTTTGATTGCTGTAATTCAACAATTGCTTTGGACCTTTCTTCCATTCTTTGTTATGGTGATTTGTGGTTGATTTCTGAACAGTGCCGGCGGGTTCAATTTGGGGGTGAATTTGTTTTGAGAATTAGATATGTTTGAGGGACCTAATTGCAGTTTTATAAATTTTAATTGTATTCCAATTGAGTTCATATGTCAAATATGTAATTTACAAAAATAATTAAAAATATTATTTTTACATATATTTTGATACATATGTTATGTATTTTAAACTAAAAAAATATCATAAAATATTAAATTTGCACATATTTTAAAATATTTAAGTTAACTCTATTAATCAAAGGAATGATACAATTTATTGTTAATTCAATTTTATTTTAGATTTTCACATAAAATGAATCCTGATTGCGTGTATAATAGTTATAAACATTATGCACGTAAGTGACAGTCAAAATGCACTATAACGTTAGACCAAATGCACATTAAATCGATCGAGAGTGCATATTAGCATAACGATGTGCATTGTTTTACAAATAGTAAAATATAGGTTATTTCGTTCTGATATCCACCTTATTTATAAAATAAATAAATAAATGAAATAACCAAACCGATCAAAATATATAAGAAAGATATTATTTATATTTTAAATATACAAATATTATTTTTTTTTCAAATAAAAGATAATGTAAAATATTATATAAAAAAATATAAATGCTAATTATATTTTTATTGTTCAAATAATATGATAAATTATCAGTAACTTTAATTAATATATACTTATTAAAGTTTTCTAACGTCGAATGCATAAAAAAATGATATAAAAAAAACCTAATCGCTTAATAGAATACACAATAACATTATACTAAATGCACATTTGTTTATATGAAAGTGCACATTATCTATTTGGGTATTTTGTATATTTATAATAATATAATAATATTAAATTAAATTATTAAAATAATAAATATATTTTTAATATAAATAATACATTATTTTAATTGGGTAATTTGGTTAACCGACATAATAAATCAAGTAATTCGGTACGGTTTCAATTTGGTTTGAGACAAAATATCTTTCGGTTCGGAAAACAAAATAACGACATAAATAGTGCACAATAGTATAAGAAGAATTGCACATTAATTACTGTCGGACTGCACAACAACAAACAAACTGACCAAAATTAATATATTTTTTTATTTTTCATATTTCAACCCAATTAATATTTTTTACTTTGAAAATCGATTGTTTCGATATAACATCGACTTTTTTTTTAGTGCGAGAATGCACCGTAGACCTAATTACAAAATCAATCATTCAAATTTTTTTTTTTTAATTAAATGCTCGACTCAATCATTCGGTTTTGACATTTTGGTATAATATGGGCCAATTGTTAAATTTTAAACTTCTAAATATCTAGGCGATGACAATTATGAAATTTCATAATAATATGATATATTTTTTAATGTGTATATCCTCACACAATGTTGTGCATTTCATATATTGTTACGGTGCATTTTATTAATTGATATTGTGCATTTACTATTTCTTATAAATTATATATTTAGCCCATGTATTAAAATGTAATATGTCAAAATGTTCAAATTGCAAATGTGTCCTTGCAATTTATCAAATTCTCAAAGTGAAGCCCTCATACCCAAACATCATCTTCCAGGTCTCTGCTCCTCCGTCAACCCGCCGCCGACCACCACGACCTGAGGTCTGACTTCCAGAGCTCCACCACCCCTCGCCTCAACGTCTCCCTCGCCTGGTCTCTCCATTTTCTGCCATCGCCGGAGTCGAGTTCCGTCGACTCTTCTCCACCGACGGTGGCTCGCTCCTTCTGCAGATCCATGTCCATTGTCCACCACACCCGAAGTCGGGACGCTGCCTTCCTCGGCCACCTAACCTACCTGAGTTCTGAGCTCGTCTATGAGCAACACGCCGGCGGGGTTGTTTTTAATACACGGAGAATATGCAGAGCGAAGGAGATCGAAATGAACACGATGGAGACGACGATGTAGTGTCACAGTCGGACGCCGGCGACGTCAGCCAACAGATCGATGAAAATGGCGGAGATCTGCGGCTCATGATTCTGTGAGAATGGCGGAAAATGAGACAGAGAGAGAGAGAGATGGAGAACGACGAAGTCAACAAAAGGAGGCTACCGGCGGCGACCGGCGCGGCGGCGATCGGCGGCGGATTGGTGGATGAAGATGAGAGATTGAGATGGACGGATGGCCTGGACTGTAAATGATGATATACGCGTGTGAATTGTGATGGGGGTAGGGGAAGAGGTAGTGGTGGGGTCCACTGCTAATACAAATACTTAAATGCCCTTTGCCTTTATTAGTTGACCATAAATATTATCAATATTTACTAAATTGCCACCGCGAATTAATTAATATTTGGCTTTATCTCAGCCGTTGCAACAACATATCACATGGTTCAAATTCATTCTCATTTCTTTCATTGTGCCTCTTTCTCATTTGAGCGTACTTCTATATATATATATATATATATATAGGTAGATCCGTAGATGTGCATGTTATATTGAATTTGTAAATTATATTTTGCTGTATAGTGAATTCTTGTGACCCTCTCTTTCTTTTAGTCTTATATCAGTTGTCATTATACTGAATTTGAAGATAATATTATGAGTTTCATTGACAATCTATGCTTACTGAAATTATATAAGGTGTTTATAGTTACAATTTATTCAAAATATCAAAATAAATCAAGCAAAACCCCAAGTGATCAACAGACAAACACAATTATCCACATAGCACCGATAATAACACTCACGGTATAAATTTTCCTGTAATTACACTATTAACGCATTTATTGAAAATATTTGTTTTCAATTTTATATATGGAAAAAACATTAATGGATTTAAAAAAAAATATATATGATTTATTACCTTATAAATCAGCCGCAATTACCTAAATTATACCTTTAACATATACCATAAAAATATTTAAATAGTTTCCAGAGTTAGTAAACAATATTTTTTTAATGAGAAATAGTTAATATATATATATATGTATATGTAATATAGATTTCCCCACCTTTCAGCTCTACCAAGAAATTTTGATAATAATTATCTCATTTCTATTGCCACGCTTTAGATCTTAAATTAAGACATAAATCACTTTGTAGGAAAAGATACACCTTTGATCACCAGTAGCACTACCGTGTGTCCTGGGACACCTAGCTAGGTGTGCCAACGCAAATTTGCACGCGCTCCCTCACCCCAAAAAACTAGAAAATTTAAAGAGTGTAGTGCACATTCCCATTTTTCCTTTTTTAATTGAAAAATGAAACATATTACATAAATTAAAATATCATTAATTATTTATATTAAAAAAATAAAATAAAAATACCAAAATTCATAATTTTTCATTATCTATAAATAGAGACCACATTTGATAGGTTTTTTAGCACAACTAATTTTTTGTTTTTTCGTAATTATTTTATTATACTGACATATAATGAACATGTTACATAACAAGATGAATATGTTTTCAAATAAGATGAACATGTTACAGATTGCAGATTGAAATAATACATATTCATCTTATTTTATAACATGTTCATCTCGTTTTGGTAACATATTCATCTTATTTTATAACATATTCACCTTATTTGTGTATGTAACATGTTCATCTTATTCTATAACATGTTCATTTAATTATGTAACATGTTCATCGTATTCTATAACATGTTCATTTAATTATGTAACTTGTTCATCTTATTATATAACATGTTCATTTTATTATGTAACATGTTCATTAATTATGTAACATGTTCATCTTATTATATAACATGTTCATTTTATTATGTAACATGTTCACCTTATTGTGTATGTAACATGTTCATCTTATTCTATAACATGTTCATTTTGTTATGTAACATGTTCATCTTATTATATAACATGTTCATTTTATTATGTAACATGTTCATCTAAATTTCATCTGTGAAAATGTAACATTTTCATCTTATTCTATGACATGTTCATCTTACTCTATAACATGTTCATCTTACTATGTAACATATCTAATTATAGATTTGCGTCATAATCTTCCAATAAGATAAATTAACTGTAAAAAATAATAAATTAATGTGTTCCAAAAAATATCAAATGTGACCTCTATTTGTAGAGAATGAAAAATTATGAATTTTGATATTTTTATTTTTGTTTTTTGATACAAAATATGAATAATAATTTTATTTATATAATATGATATATGAAATTCATTACCCCATAGAAATGGAACACATGTCCCCTTTGAAAAAAAAAAAATACTCTACCTCCTTATCTCACGCGCTTTTGAAGGAACTGTATTTCACAAAAGGCTCTGACACACCTAGCAAGGTGTGCACCTAAGTATTTGCGTTTGATCACGGGCAATATCGATATGAGAAAAATCGAGCTAGTTCATAAACTAAAAGACACAACAAACACCGTCCTCCAATCAAGCAAAAAAGTAAAACAGTCGATTTCCAAGACGACGAAAACAT